TCATCCCGCAGTTTGTAAAACACAGTGTGTTAACACTTTCACAACGTATACACTCCCAGCCTGCCTGGCACTGACTGTCCTCTGAGTCACCGCAATACAGGCAGACGGGCCACGGGCAGCTGACGAGAAGCATGCGTGTCTGTCCCGTCATGTTATCACGATAAAAATTTTCATATTAGTCGATTATTTCTTTCAAGTTTAAAGGCAGATTTTTTCTCCTGAGTGAAAGTTGAAGAAACCAGACAGTTAATTGGTCAATTAAACAGCTCTTTATTTCAAGAACACAACACTTGCCAAACAGCAGAAACATTGAACAAATCTGTTAGCTGCCCGGTTTGCAACACACACACACGCACTCGCGCAGTATTTTGTGCGCATGCGCAAACATGCAAACAGAAACATATATATTGAACTTTTGTTAAAATTATATAGAGGAAAATCATATCACGATAATTATCGTTATCAATTTATCGCCCACCTCTATGCCTGCGGTTGCCTTGGCAGGGCCAGACCAAATGATTTTCGCGGGCCGGACGTTCTCCCACCCCTGGTCTAGACGAATGACTCCTCTGAATTTTCTTACTTTTCCAGAGCAGCCAGAATTGACTTATAGACTTAGATTTATGAGTGATTATTCAAGCAAAATGGTGCATTCATGAAATGTAAGCTCCCTGTGGCAGGCTGTCCTGGAATGACCGTTGCCTGGTCTGGTTTGTGTCTTGAGAGGTGTTTGCTGAAATGAAGAGCCCATGTGTTTCTGTTCACAGCGGCTGCCTTCCAGCAAGGAAAGATTCCTCCCACCCCTTTCCCTGGAGCGCCACCTCCTGGAGGAGCCATGATTCCACCTCCACCTAACATCAGTAAGTCTTCGAAGGGGTCTGCACAGTGACCCTGTGGCTACACAGGAGGAGAATCCTTCCTAACTATGGATGAACTAGCACCTCTGGGTTTTCCTTCTTCGGCCTTCTGTAAAATAGTTTTATCAAAGTTGTGCAGGGGATCATTTCCACCCTTGGTTCTTAAACAGCTCAGTGTGTTAACACTTTCACAATGTATACATTTCCAGAATCTATGTTTTAAACCTAGTGAGCAGGTACTTGTCAAACACTGGCCTTTTGGTTGCCAGGAGGATAGAGGAGAATTATTGGTGTAAATCAGATATCCTCTGGTTTTAAGAGATCGTCATTTTGTGCAAGTAGGAGATATTTCATATTGTGTTCTCAATTCTGCTGAAAATGTTTTGGCAGAATTATTAATGTTAAATTGAGAACACTACTTCTATATTGTGTGGCTTTTTAAGGAAACAGCATGTATTTTTTTAGAACAAAAATAAAACTGTTATATGGATCCGTGTAGATAAAATTAATGGCATGCTTATTCTTATCGTGATGTTTGTGGATGTTGAAGGAGAACTAGTGGTAATTACATTGTTAGTTCAATGTTAATCCTAGCTATGATTGTACCCGTTTCACAAGGCTGTGAAAATGAAAAAAAATATTTAAAATCAGATTTGAAGATGATGCCATGTTTAGAAAAACGTAAAATAAGTACAATCCATCTCATCTTCACTAGCCTATTGGTCTTTCCGTTTTCATTCAGTCTTGTGTAGGATGTCCGTGATGGTAGTCAACCCATTGCCGTGTAAATCTGCAAGAAAAGTTGTGATTGGAACATACAATTGAGTGCATTTTATGCAGGAAGTGGACAGGAAATGGAAATGCAGGGTTTTAGAGAGGGCCACTGAGTATATTGAACGTGAGGGCTATAGGGTGTGGCTCATGCCTTAATTACAGGATGCTCTAGAATGAGGCTCAAATCTTTTTTCTTCCTCCATCAACCAGGCTTAAACTGAGTTCCTTTATGGTCGAAGAACAGTGCTGCATCCCTCCTGCAGAATTCCACAGTGTATACAGTCTATACTCGCTACTTGTGGTGTCCTAATGCCCTGCTAAGTGTTTTTACATTGGTGTTTCGATTTTTATGTCCGCTACCTGTAGATGTTGACTTTTTTGTAAGCAGGAAATTGTCCCAGTATCCCTGCTGGTGTTGCTAATTTTGTTCATGTGATCTGTTACAGCTGGCCCCCCTCGTCCCGGCATGATGCCAGCGCCCCCTATGGGTGGACCTCCCATGATGCCCATGATGGGCCCTCCTCCCCCTGGCATGATGCCTGGTGGGCCAGGTAAGACATGCCCCTTAGATCTCCTTTAACACTAGAGCTGCACTAACACACTGTGATTATACAGGGTATCTTTTGGATGTTTTAGTTCCTGATTGGGGATAGCTTCTTGCTTCGTTTCATGAACAGCTATATTATTTTTATAGAAAATCCATCAGTCTATTCGGATCATGTGGGCTCTTTTCAATGCACCTGAATGCATACTACACTTCTATAAGATTACTTTCATTTGATGTTTAATAATACACTCAAATATAGGCATACATGCATGCATGTTAAAAATCTCTTCATTGTTGTCTGGTGCACCTGTTTCTTTATCTAAATTCATGCAGGTTTTCTGGAGTTTCTTTCCATTGTACTCCCTCTCTTCTGCAGTTGTGGTGTGTCCCAGTAAACAATAACATTAAATTATTGTATTTCAATTAATTTGTTGGAAATTAAAACAAAGTAATAGGTTTTGAAGGCTGTGATAATTCATTGTGTACATGCAGGGAAGGGCATTGTTTCCTGTTAGACGTGCTGCGTAGACATTTTTTCTGTTTTTGTCTTATCTTAATGTGATGTCTTTCTGAAAGTTGTGCTTATAATCCCAGATCAGTGCTAGAAGAGTTGAGTCTCCTGCTTTTGTTTCACTGACATTAACTATTCAGGTGACACTGGCCTTAAACCAGCAGGAAAACATTTCTGAGAGTCATGTAGATGGTATGAGGCACCCCAACTGTGATTTAGATGAGTCTCAAGAAACTGTGCAGCTCTGAAGTTACAAGAACTGTTTGCTCAATCTTGGAGACTTCTAATCTCGGGTCTATTTGAGTACTTCCTTTGCAGGCTCAAAATTCCTGATTTAAAGAAAAATCCAGGGTGTAGGGGTTATGAAATGGCAAATTGAGGAGGGTATTGATCATCGGGGGGCAGGGGGTTGCTCTTCTAGTCTTTAAGAAGCTAGCAAATTGGACCACACTGTTGCATCTTCCCCCAATTTCACCTCTGTCTGGCATGTCACTCTTCATCCTTGTGATGGTCACTTGATGTGTGTTGCCTTTTGCAAGTTCTATTGGTCTGTTTACCTCAAGATAGAAAAAGTAATTAACGAATTAAGTCACAGTTTCAGAGCTACTTTTACACAGTTTACACTAAGACCACAGTGAATGGCAGAAACGTCCCTCAAAAGCATACAATCCTGTCTGGCTTTTATACAGCATTCCTGTATTGAGTTTGAGCAGGATGTCCTGACAGCCTCCTCCTTCCTTTGCAGCACCGGGAATGCGGCCCCCAATGGGCGGCCCGATGCAGATGATGCCAGGCCCCCCCATGATGAGACCACCCTCACGGCCCATGATGGTGCCGTCCAGACCCGGCATGGTGCGGCCCGACAGATAAACCCCCCGAGGAGAAGAGACTCTCGCGCCTCTGCCATGTACATCCCCTCACCTGGGAGACGGCTCTCCAACCATCACCCCTTTCAGATAATCCAAGGACAGCAGTGTTTTTAAAATTGATGTTATTTTCATTTTTGTCCCCCACCTCCCCCAAGTCCTGCTCGCTTTGGTCAACACAGTAGATTCTCCATGATTTAATTCTTGAGACAGCTTACAATGTTTAAAACAAACGGATACTTTGGGAAATTCCATCAAGTGATTAAACTTTTCTTGGCTTGAGCTTGTATAATAAATACCCAGAGAACTGTCAGATACCAGAACCTGATTACAATGAGAATATATTTACCTCTGGAGAGTCACAAGTGTGTCAAAGAAAGTTTGTTGTACAGCCATACGTCTCTACAGCTTCTCTGTGCCAGCATCTTGTTTTGAGAATATTCACATTGTACAGTTGACATGCCATGACTTTTTACATTTCACCTTTGGATGCAAATATCAGCCAGTAAAACCATCCCTTACGATTAGTAGTTTTTTGCCATTAACATTTAAACATTTTAAAGGTTTAAGTGGTTGGGTTTGTTTTTATTTGTATTTTACAGCGTCTTCTGGGTTGTTTTCCCCCCAGTCTTGAAGCTACGCTAAGGCTTCTGCTGTGAGGATTCTCTAGAACTTGTCTTTTCATGTATGTTTTGAGAAATAAAATTCCAGAAATGAAGGAGCCTGTCATCTTTATTAATTTGTAGTACTGGATCAGCCATCTACGAGCAGTTCATTGATTATAAAGTTAAAGCCAAAATGATTTATTAAAATTACAATTAAGGGGCATTTTAAAATGGTTACCATCGCTTTGTGTGCTAGTTGTCATTTAGCTGTTCCCTTATGCTGGAACTGGTAATGTTTTGTGAGGCTTTGCATAAAATTGAGATGAAAATAGTAATATGCTTAATGGTAAGGCTGGTATTTTAACTATTAAAAATATTTGCCTTGACTTCAAGATCGAATCAAGCATGGGCTGAGCTCTTTCATCAGAGGTTTGAACCTGGGTCATGTGCCTAGCTGCCTGTGACTGGGGTCCCCAAGGGGTGTGTGCACAGTTGGCTGAGAGGGTCAAGTTGGGTTGGTTGGTCTGGATGCACTGTTCCTATTGACATAGCGCCTCCTGTAGGTACAGTGATAGCCTTAGTGTCTGGCAGGCTGTGTATTTCTGTTGACTTGGAGTTCAGGTCGATGCTGGAGCAGCCGGGCAGTGCTTTCTCCTTCATTCAAGAAGCCCCAGCACACTCACAAGTGAGGCAGAAGGTGTACTGCAGCCTGCTCTCTAGGTGCTGGGGTTTTGCCCCCTGCAGGGGCAGTTCAGAGGGAAGGAGGCGGCTTTGACACCAGGTTCCTGCTATCCTGGAGGAACCCGGCACCATTGTAAAGCAGAGGTTGTCAACGGGGTGCTGGGGAAGTCCTGTCTTTCATGATGCAGGGGAGCACATCTCCAGTCATGGAGAGCCAGAAAGTTTCTGCTTCACTTTCCACCTGAATACACGGTCAGCTATGGTAGTTGACCTCATTATTTAATCGGACACATTGGAACCTTGTTCTTAGGGAGCTGAAGGGTGTAAAACCTGCTGGAGAGCGGCCGTTGAGGCCCCGAGTCCGGCCTTAGAGGTTGACGTGGAGCTGTAGGAATGCACAGCAGATGAGGCCCAGACTGATCCCGGGGCTTGGGACAGTATCACCTGACTGATTCTGGCTGTGAGGCAGGCAGGTTGGGTCTGACAGGAACGCCTGGATTTCAGGTTGGTGGGACAGTAATGCGCTGTGTATAAGAGCATCCTTCTGGGCACATCAAGAATTGTACGGGACAGTGTTTCCTGCCACTGACAGTGATCAGCGTCGCTGCCTCACAGAGCTGGGGCTCAGGGCTCAGTTCTAGACCAGAGATGCTAGCTGTGTAGAGTTTGTATGTTCTCCCCGCATTCACCTGGGTTTCTTCCATGTGCACCAGTTTCCTCCCACAGTCTGGTGGGTTAATTGGCTTCAGAGAAACTTGGTCCTGGTGCAAGTGAGTGTGTGATTGTATGTGCCCTGCAATGGACTGGCGTTCTGAGCTGTTCATCACTAGTAGCAGATAACACAGAAGCACACTGGAAGAAATCCATCCATTTTCTAACCGATTCTTCCAATTCAGGGTCATGGGGAAGCTGGAGCCTATCCCAGCAAGCAATGGGACACCAGTCTGTTGCAGGGCAGACATCTGTTCAAACTCACACTAGGGTCAATCCCCCAGAATTCAATTAACCTACCAGTATGTCTTTGGACTTTAGGAGAAACCCCACAACAAACAAGGGGAGAACATACTGTATAAACTCCCTGCAGATAGCCAATTTAGGTCCAGAATTGAACTGAGGGCCCCAGTGGTACAAAACAGCAATGCTAACCAGTGCGCCACCGAAGAAATGTTCTCCTAATTTGTATGCGTATCCCACGTGTATTCCAAATATTGCCTTAAGTTCATATTTCAATTCAATTTTTGTAGTGACCACAATTAGGAGACTAAAATACACATTGAGCATATTAAACAGACCCCCCAAAACACTAGAATTATAGAGGATTTTATTATTTTTTGTACACATTGCAGTAAATCATCTGTGAGTTAGTTTTACTAATACCAAGTTCAATTGAACCACATTCAAGTACTCCAACCTATTTTATTGTCATTTTTATGTGTTCAAAAGGTGGCGTTATTGAGCTCCTTGTAATTTATTTTCCTTGAAGTGTGCATTTGGGAAACAGAAACCATTTTGGCTCCACAGTAGGCGGACGTCTGAGCCCAGCAGTGAGCGAACGGGGGACTGAGTTTCACCGCCTCCTACGCACGGTCACCCCTGACCCCCCCTGGCAAGCCCGTCCCCGCGCGCCGTGCTTTGTGGGACCGCGGCAGACCGGGTCTGGAGGACCGGCGTGCAGTGCCCAAGCCTATTATAAGATGTTGGTGCAAAGGAGATGGGATAGAAATAGAACTCCCGCCGCAATATCCGAAGGTTTCTTAGCACTGTAGCAGTCAAGAACTTCAACTGACATGGCGGGGATTATCAAAAAACAAATTCTTAAACATTTATCCAGGTAAGGGAAGATGTCGTTTTCCTTTTCTTTTATTACCCTGGAGATCGTTGTCTGTGGTTGCTATGCCAAGCAAACCCAAAGCTTCTCTTTGTGTTGCCTCAATGGTATGGCTTTAAAATAACGCGAGGCGACAGGGCAAAACTTTTCATTACTGTTTTGTACCGTAATGTGCTAGTGGACGGTTAAGAACTGGTTCCGTGCTGATGAAACTGTCACGTCTTGAATGGACATGACCTGCTCCTTCAATAAACCAGCCCTGCATTGTATATCGTTAACGTTTCCCATAGTGTATATGAGCCGCCTGAGAGCTGCAAGCCGGCGCATCCTTGAGGCGAATGCGAATTAAACGGACTTTAGTTGTACAGAACCACCTCCTCCCAGTCTCAGCCACATAGGAGGGAGAACACTTGAAATTTAAACAAGCTATTAAGATGGATGTGCATAATCTATTAAAAACCTATTTGTCCTCAAAGTCAGGCTTTTGCAAACAGAAGCTGCACTAATGCAGATATTCAAATACTTGTTTCCATTATCAATCCAAACCCGGTGACGAGATGAATCGCAACTGCGATTTGCCTATCTGTAGATGTCCCCGGTTCCCATTCAGTTATCTGGGACTGCAGTGGTTAATAATTTAGGATGACGTAATGGAGTCCGCACAGACCCCCGTCTGTTGTCTCGCGCTCCGTTTTCCACCACCCGAACTGTGTCGTGAGCACATAGCACTACAGTCCTTAGCGTGGCGATTCGTCCTGGGCTTACTAACACCCATTCCATAACATCCGTATGAGCATACATCGACTCGATTTAGAAATACCCGCACACAAATAGTTAAAAAGGCAGTATGTTATCGTTCGGTCGTGTGTACCGCAGTAAGGCACACGTAGACCGTACTTGTTTGAATTCTTACTGTCTCCCACAAAACCCACCACCTCTGTGCCGCTTTGCCTGAACACACCAACACTTCACTGCGCTACCTGTGTATGCGGCACCCGTGTCATCACGGGACAAACCACGCAAACCGACAGGGGAAGACGCGCTCGAATCTGCAGGATTAGGTGGAAGTAGCCTATGTATGCTGCTTCACAAAATAACTTTTACAACCTCTGTTGACAGGAGCTGCTTGGTGGGGCGGCTTGTATGTTGAAAGCTAAGAGTAACAGCAGTAAATTTGTAGCAGCATGTCAGACAGCAGCCAGTCTCCTAATCAATACCGCCCCCCCCCCCAAAAAAAACAAAAACAGGCACACATCCCATCTTAGCTGGTGGCTCGTGTCTCATAAGTTGACCCAGTTTTCGGAGATGTTTTTGTCTGGGTGCCGAGTGACTGAAGGTGACAGGCACGCCACACAGAGAACGTTCCGGGGCAGCCCAGGCTGGAGGCAGGTCTTGAAAGCTTCCATCATGTCCAGCCCACCGGAGGGCCCACCACACAGTAGCTGTTGCTGAATTTAAAAGCCTGGTTTATAATGTTGCTTTATTAGCCCTATACAATTTCTTGCATTAGGAATTCATCTTTTCACATACCCCAGCTTGCTCTCCATGAGACACAGACAGGGAGAGAAGCTTGGGGTCAGAGCACAGGGTCAGCCATTGTACAGCACCCCTGGGGTAGTTGGGGTTAAGGGCCTTGCTCAGGGGCCCAACGGAGTAGGATTCTTCTGCCAGCTGTGGGATTTGAACCAGCAACCTTCCAGTCACAGGCACAGATCCTTAACCACAGAGCCACCGCTCCACCCTTTTTTTATATGGAGGGGTGATACGGTGGCGCAGGTGTTAGCATTGCTGCTTCACAGCATAAGGGCCTGGGTCCAGTTCCAGCCATGGAGGGCTATCTGTGTATCCTGGAGCTTGCATGTTCTCCTCGAGTTCACGTTTGTTTCCTCTGGGTTTCTTCCTCAAGTTTCTCCCCACAGTCAAAAAACATACTTGTTGGTTAATTGTCTTCTGGGAAACCTGGCCCTGGTGTGCGTGTCCTGGTCCTGTGATGGACTGGTGTCCCATCCAGGGTGTATCCTGCCTTGTGCCCAGTGCTCACCTCCGACTCTGAATTGGATTAGCAGTTATTGGATGCGTCTGGATCTGGGCTCGTAACCGAAAAGTTGTTCAAGTACCTGCAGCTGTCGCTCCCTTGAGCAAAGAGCTCCAGTCTGCTCTGCCGTGCAAAAGGACATCGTGGGAGTCCTGTATTCTCAGTCTACTTAACAGCACATGAGCGGAAGAAAGCCCAGGCCTGATGAGTTATGCGTTGTAAGGTCAGCTCCTACCCTGGAAGAGCACAGGCACTGGGATCAGCAATCCTGGTGTCTGGCACAGCCTTGGTGAGGGCATTCTGGGATAGCTTGAGGTCATGCCCAGCGGTTGCCCACGCAAAATGTGATGCCCAGGGGGCACTTTCCTGTGACCCTGCCTTGTGCACTTTCTGTCAGTTAGGCTGAGGGGGATCAGCTGTAGATCGGATCGCCCTACTCCTGTGCCTGACGGGAGCAGTGCCCTGTCTTCACAGTTCCAGCGGTAGCTGTGGGTTCCCCCTCTGTGAGGGTCTCCCGCAGAAACCCCCCTGTCTCCAGACCTTTTCCACATGAAGGCAGTTGGCACTGC